ATCCAGCCATCTTGTCCTCTGTCGTCCCCTTCTCCACCTGCCTTCAATCTTTCCCAGCATCAGAGTCTTTTCCAGTCACATCAGGTGGCCAAAGCATTGGAGCTTCAGCTTCAGCATCAGTCCTTCCAATGAATATTTAGGACTGATATTCTGAATATCAGACTCCTGGGAAAATAGTCCCTTATAGAAGCTCCCAGATGCTGCGTGATTGATTTTCTTTAAATAAGCTGTTGAAAATATTCTTTAAAATGACTTATTTACATCTGCGAAACGTTTATGTAGAAGCACATTCCAATTTACTTGGTTCTGAAAAAATCATTACATAGGAAAAAAGTTCTTTTTTTTTCCGTAAAACACCTTTATTGAGATACAGTTCACATATCATATAATTCACCCACTTAAATGATAGATTCAGTGGTTTTTAGTGTATGGTTTTGAATATATCCATGGGTATATGCAGCCATCACCACAATCAATTTTAGAGCATTTCCTCACCTCAAAAGGAAACCCAGGCCCCTTCAGACCCCTTCTACCCTCGCCCTAGGCACCCACTCTGTAGGTTTCCTGTTCTGGACATTGCATATGAATAGAATCAGAGTATGTGGTCTTTTGTGCTAGCTTCTTTCGTGGAGCATGTTTTTAAGGTTCATCTGTGTTGTAGCATGTGTGTCAGGACTTCACTCCTTTTTTAAAAATTATGGTAAAATGTACATGGTGGTGGCGTTCAGTCACTCAGTCATGTGTGACTCTTTGCAACCCCATGGACTGCAGCACACCTGGCTTCCCTGTCTTTCACCATCTCTGGGAGTTTGCTCAAACTCATGTCCTTTGAGTTGGTGATGCCATCCAACCATCTTGTCGTCTGTCGTCCCCTTATAACATTTACCATTTTAGCCATTTTTACGTGTACAGTTTAGTGGCATTAAGTCAGTCAATTGTTGTTCAACTATCACCACCATTCATCACAAGAATGTTTTCATCTTCCTAAACTGAACCTTTGTGCCCATTAAACACGGACTCCTGATCCCAGCCGGTGACCCCTATTTGAAATTCATTTGTTGTTGTTCAGTCATTAAGTCTTGTCTGACTCTTTTGCTGCCCTATGGACTGTAGACTCCTCTGCTGTGGAGAGGAGCTAGGCTCCTCCGTTCGTGGAATTCTCCAGGCAAGAATGCTGGAGTGTGTTGCCATTTCTTCTCCAGGGGATCTTCCCAACCCAGGGATCGAACCCGTGACTCCTGCCACTCACTCCAGATCTGTTTCAGCTATGTTTTGTGTTTCCTGGAAGGTGATATGTCCTGTTGATGTCTAGCCCTGCTGACTCCTTGATTTTAGCCCTGTGACACCTGTTTTCAGGCATCTGACCTCCGGAACTGTAAGACAATGAATGTGTGCTGTTTAAAGCCACAAAGTTTGTGGTCATATATGACCACAGGAGCAGTCATTTGTCTTATGCAAGACTTCTGCAGACTCGTCCTGACATCAGGCTCCTGTGACCCACGGGGGTGCCCAGATCTGCTGTGTGTCCGGCGTGGCGTGTGGCGCCCTCCTGCTCTGTCTCCCGCCTCTCTCAGCATCAGAATTAAACTCAGGAACTCAAGCCCGACGCCTGCCTTCCCTCCCGGCTCGGCCACCTCCTTGCTTTGCACCTCCGCTTCCTCCTGCGTGCAATGCGGGCAGCCCAGCGGCCGCCCTGAGGTTGTCGGGAGGTTGAGGTGGTCCCGCCGTCGGATACTCGGAGCGTCGCGGTCCCCGGGCTCCGTGACCCTGCCTGCTGCGGTGACTACATGAGGTGCTGCTCTTTGACCGAGCAGTGGATTTTTGTGAGTCAGAGAGCTTTAGCGCTGTGCCTGAGGTCTCACAGTGAGTGCAGAACTGGGATTTGAATCCCTGGCTCCCTGACCCGGAAGCCTGTGGTTTTTCTCTTAAATGACGCCCTCCCTCAGGAGAAAGGGACTGTCCCTGGGGGAGCTTTCAGCCTCATTAGAGAGCCGGGACTAACCCGCCAGCCTGTTAGAGGACAGTGTAGGATGGTCAGTTCTGATGTAACAGGGAGGAGACCGGTGAAGGGAGAGTGCCGCGGGCCTTGTCGTTTTCAGAAGGTGTCTAGCGTCTTCCCTTGGGGCTGTGGGCCTGGAGAATTGAAGCTAGACGTGACCCCTGCCTTCAAGGAGCTAGCAAGAAGATAGAAAAAGCTTCCTGAGGAGTGTGGACTTCAGCTTGGTTTTAAATAGTAGGTAGTTAGAGCAGAGTGAGGAGTTTTGACTGGAAGAACAGGAGTCAGTGGGTGAGGTGGCAGGTGGTATCCGTTAGTGTTGGGCTTAGCTGCTTGTGACAGAGGACACCAGAGCTACAGTGGCTTAAACCATCTAGAAATTGGTTTCCCTCTTGCAAGGAAGAGGCCCGGGAGTCGCCAGGCTGAGCCGGTGCGCCAGCTTCCCGGGCTCGGTGGGGACGCGCACTCCTCGCGGCTGACGGCCGCGCCGTTCCTGGGATGTGGCCCTTAACCTCATGGTTTAAGAAGCCGCTGCGGCTCTGGCCATGTGTGCTCGTCAGGATCCTGGCAAGAAAATGGGAACAACACGTATTTCAGCAAACCTAGAGCATTTAATATAGGAAATTGGGTGAACAGGTGGAAGAGAACCAGAAAAGCAAAAAACGGAGCACAAGTGAGTACGCTAAGGATACTGAGCGTGCAGGGGCAGACTCCTGGGGCTGGGGAAGCGAGGGAAGAGTGACCAGAACCTGGGAACTGAGAGGAGGGGCCCGCAGACTTGGGACCCCGACCCCGAGGGCACTGCTAGGCTGTGGGGGCCCTGACCTCTGGGCTGGTACCCTGGGGGGGACCACAAGGCTGCTTCTGGGGTTGCCCAAAGAAGTGAGGACGGGAGCGGGCGGGTTGGTACCACAGCACGTGGGCAGGTCTGCCTGCCGCCAGAACCCGGTGACGCGGGAGCCGCTGCTCACGGAGGGGTGTCCCCGAAGACGCCAGCATCATCGCAGAACCGACCTGGCAGCCGGTCCACACCGCAGGATGGATGGGCAGGGGCCCAGTGCGTGAGCGGGTCTGGCGCTGGTTTCAGACCCTTCCTTTGCCCGCTCTGTGCTGGCACTTGGCCGCACAGGCCTGGACGGCTCTAGAGGCAGCTGCTAAGTACAGTCCCGAGGCGTGGCAGGCTGCCCCTGGGCACGGCCCAGCCTCTCTAACCCAGGAAGGGCGGAGACCGTCCGCCACGGGAGCGGAGCTGGGCACGACTCTGTGCCACCGTTCGTGCAGCAGCGCTAACACCTCCAGATAAAAACTTCTCCCAGTTATCGCTCTCCTCCACACCAACTGAACTTGCTCTCTCGGACTGGTTCTTGGCGGTACCTCCCACTGTGTGCCGTGACCCCTGTCTGGGCGTGTGATGGTTCCGTTGTGGTTTATGCTTTAGCCTCCCCTGGGGAGCATAGTTTGACTGGACTGTTGGTGGATAGAACGGGGAGAGAGGCAGCTGGCTCTGGAGACTGGGGGCTGCTGTTCTAGAAAGCCGTGCTCCAACTGGCTCATAACTTTGTCTCCAGCAGTTGCACAGGTTCAGCATTGCTGTGTGATACAGCTGCATCTGATGGGCAGGTGTAGGCCAGGGTTCGCTGAGCATCTGGTTTAGACACTGTCCTGCGATTTTGCAATCTGTCTTATAGTTTTGTGTCTGCTTTCTTCCCTGGAGTGGAAGTTTCTCGAGGCAGTTGTGTTATCTGAGCTTCCAGCATCGTGCTTCGCTTAGGTGATAGCTCTTCACGATCTATTGACTAGATTCTGAAGCCCACTACAGTTGAGGTGCCTGGGGTCTTGAGTTCCTAACTGTACAGTGGTTTATGTTCCTTCATTTAAGTCTCCAGTATCTGCACTAACTAATCATTTCCAACCCAGGCAGGTGATTTGTCCTCAAGGCTACACTTTCTTGTTAAGTGTCCCCTGTAACGTGTTCCTTGTCTGCGGTAGTCATGTGAAAGGTTTTGGTTTTGTTGAGGTCTCCCCTTTCCTCTGAGAGCTCCAATAATTCTTAATGCTGCAAGTTGTTTGAAACAGCTGTTAGTCAAATCTGGTTGAGAAGGGGTGGATCGTGCAACTTCAAGTGGAAAGCCCCCGGGGGGATGGTTTAGGTATGGCTCCAAGATTTTAACTCAGCAGTGATGGGAACAGGATGGAAATTTGGGGTCACAGATGAACATGGACTGGAAGGGATACATCTGAGATACCCCACCCCCAGTTTCCAGGGTTGAGGAGGGTCTCCTTGCCCCTTGCTCTCAGGCAGATGCTACATGCAATTAAAAGCCGTTCTAATGAGGTGGATGAACCTGCAGCCTGTTATACAGAGTGAAGTAAGTCAGGAAGAGAGAGACAAATACTGTATATTAACGCATACATATGGAGTTTAGGAAGATGGTACTGATGCTCCTACATGCAGGGCAGCAAAGGAGACATGGCCGTAAAGAACAGACTTTTGGCTCCAGTAGGAGGAGGTGAGGGTGGGATGATTTGAGAAAGTAGCATTGAAACATGTACATTACCATATATAAAATAGACCAGTGCAAGTTCAATGCATGAAGCAGGGCACCTAAAGCCGGTGCTCTGGAACAATCTAGTGGGATGGGGTGGGGTTCCAAATGTGGGGGGTGGGGGGCACAGGTATACCTGTGGCCAATTCATGTCGATGTATGTCAAAAGCTATCACAATGTTATAAAGTAATTATCCTCCAATTAAAATAAATTAAAAAAAAAAACACAAAACCTCCCTCATGGCTGCCTTAGAAGGACCGATGGGGAGTTTGCATGTGGAATTGACATGAGAACTGTGGAGTTCATCTGGTTTCCAAGTGCCCTGAGAGACTGAGTGGAGACTCAGGTGAGGGCAGGTATCGTGGGCAGGAGCCGACTTCTTGCCCATAGCTACCCCAGAAGAGTGACCTGGCTCGCCCTCAGCTTCCGCTGCTTACGGTGCTCTTGTTTCCAACAGAGGTGGCCTCAGCAACATGTTGTTCCAGTGCTCCTTGCCCGACTCCCTGGCCTCTGTCGGAGACGAGCCTCGGAAGGTGCTCCTGCGGCTGTACGGGGCGATCCTGAAGATGGTGAGTCCCTTGGCTGCTCGGGGCAGGGGGCCTGGCCACAGTTCTCATCCTCTTGGCCTGATTACCGGGGAGTAGATTTAAGACGTGTTAGTAGTGTTGTGGGAATCATTTAAAAACAGCTTTTATTGTAATCAGGCTGTACCCCTGAGTTTTTTTCTTTATTATTCCAAGTGAATTCTGTCTTACTATTTGTTAGCAAACTAGTACAAGTACCACTTTTATGTCCAGAAAAAGTACAGTGTTGGTCAAATCTGTAATAGTGCTTTGTTGACGCCTAGATTTTCCCCACACTGAAATTTTCAACTCAGACTTAGGTTGTAAGGTTCCAATGTGGGGAAGGTATGGTTTGTTTAGCATCATCAGAAAGGGGCTACAGGGTAACCCCACTGCAAAGGAACAAGCTCAGTGAAGCTGAATTTAGTAAGTCCCTCCCTTTGAGATTTGTTTTAAAACTGAGTTTGTTAGATTTTTAATCTTTCTGAATTTTTATATGACTTAAATAATTGAATCTAACATTCAGTTAAAGTGCCTTATTTGTTGAATTGTCTTAACCAATTATATCACAAATGTCTGGATTAAAAAAAAAACCTATACATGAATTTATCATTTTACTGAACACACATATAAATGTGTGTATATTGCAATGGCAGAATTTTTATATCCATTTAAATCTTCTCAGAAGGGCCCGTTTTGATCCTCATGAAATGGAAAATTAGTTTTCTCACTTAGTTTTTTTTCCTAAGACTAGTCTCTCTCAGCTCAGTCTAAAAAGCAGGTCATGTCCATTATCTGTGATAATCGATTATATGTTTAGAACTAATAAAGTTGCTGTTCTTTGTGTTAACTCGCTTAAAAAGTTTTCATGATTGCCCAAACCTTCCCACTGGGTAGCTTCCCCTTACGCTTGTCAGGCTCAGAGGGTGAGGGTCCGAGGTTGGAAACCAGCCTGCATGTCTGAGGAAGCCTGGGCTGCCGTGGAGTCGGGTTCTCACAGTGACTGACACCCGGCCCTGCCCGCTGACCCTGCGCTTCAGTTGTTTTATTTAATCAAGTTGCAGTCTCAGAGAAGTTCTTGAAATATTCAATTTATGTCCTTTTGGGTCTTTTAATGAAATCAACTTTCAGCAATTTTTCCCCCCCTGAGGACTTTCTGTAACAGTGAAGTTCCTTTCGGCTCATTTGTTTTGTATGCTTTCATTTAAGCAACACTTTAAAAATACCTTAATATCCACCTCCTGGAATCGCAGGCAATAAGACTGTTATTTACCTCTGATTCCTGAGGCTCCTGTTTTAACTTAAATGGGAGCGTGTTCAGCGTGCACTGTGTGCTCCCCCTGGGCCAGATGGGGTCCCGGAGCCCTGTCCGAAGGGGATGATACACTGATCCATGCTGTCCAGGACGCCGGTCACCAGCCACCTGTGGCCATTAGGTACGCTTGAAATGTGGCAAGGGCAGCCACGGAATGGGGTTTTAAACTTTATTTAATTTTAATTCATTTAAATGGACACGGTCCCGTGTAGTTGGTGACTGCTGTGTTGGCCAGCATGGCTCTAGAGCGTGCCATGTTAAGGATGGGCAACTTAGAGAAAGCCAGCTGCAGCATAGCCCGTGCACCCCGAAATTTTCTTTTCCCGAAATAAAGATTCATCATCTGTAGTTAATATTCTACCTTTTTTGAAATTTGAGCAGTTTAGAATTATTACATTACGGTACTTAAGTGCAATAGACATGTCTGGAAATAGAATTTAACAGAATTCTCTGTCCCTATTTATTTTTAAAGGGAAAGAAAGATTATTGGGTAACTCAGTAGAAAAATAGAGAATAATGGACACCACTTAAAATGAATTTGACTTTTTACTGAGCTAATGGATCAGAGCATGTTCTACACGCAGTTCTAACAGGGGAGGTGGAGGCAGCACTCTGCATTTAGCTTCTCGGTTCTATTTTTACTAGGCTGTCAGTTTCCATTCCTAAAACTGCATCTGCTGATGAAGCACAGAAGCTATGCTTGAAAGCACACGGATAGAGAGGGAAACAGGTTGCTCATGAGATGGGTACTGAGCAAGCGTCTGATGGCCTCACAATAATTGACTCAGGAGACAACAGACTTGCTTTTCTTAGAAAAAGACCTGTTCCTTTGCTTTCTAGGTGGGACTCAGTGTTTTCACGTAATTACTCAAGTTCAAGTACACTTTTGATTGAGCCCCTAGTTCAAGTACACTTTTTTTGTTGAAGTATGAACTTAGTAAAAACTGTGAAACTACAGCCTCAAATATTTTTGGTTCCCACATTCTTCTGGGCTTGGCAGGGGCTCTTGCTGCCAGTTAAGAGTTTCAGATGTTAATGGCCCTTGTCAACTGCTGGCCATTGAACACTTGGGCAGCACGAGGAGGGAGAGAAATTCAGGATCTCTGAGCAGGTACTTCTGTTTAAGAGGGAGGAGGAGTGGGGAGTCAGGTGTGGAGACTCAGCGGCCAGTAAGACACTATCCAAGTGCAGCGCCGTGTGCTTTAAAAGCTGGGCTTTCATGGTGTGGGGCCAGGATTTTACCACAAATGTGAGTTCTTCCTCTTCTCATATTTTCAAGTCAGATTTTAAAATGTCTATTACTTACTTTGTTGCTCGGTCATATTGCTGATCACCTCTTTGCAGTGAATCTGGCCTCCTATGGGAGGAGGGGTATTTATAGTCTACAGGTTATATTCCCATCATAACTTAAAAAATGGCCAGAATTGATAGTAACTTGTCAGGAGTTGCATTCATTAAGAGATGTGGCTGAGCAAATATGGAACCCAAATAATAAGTCACATTACTTTCATGAATACATGGATTAAAGACAGAAATATCATATAACACATACGTCATGCTTGCCTTATTTTTTGCTCTGCCTTAGAGGGAAGCACACACATGTCCCTATACATGTGTGTGCATTTATGGTATTTACTGCATTGGCCATATAAATGCAGTTTTCACATCCGTCAAGCTGGGTTAGAATAAGCTCCTTCCTTGAAACATGACAAATCATGACAGCATGTGATGATCAGCTTATGTAATATTTTCTCAATGTTTAGCTGTTTGGCTTAATAACATGAGAGCCTGGTTGAGTTTCACACATCCCTTCTTTCCCTTTTTCCTCCTTGTTTTCAGCTCTGGGACTTTTTACCTCTGTGAGAATTGAATATTCAATAGTACTTTTAAAATTTGCATTTACAATCATTCACAAGTAACTTGGTTTAAAATAATAAGATGCTTCTCGACTTTCTCATTCTTCATCTTGGTATTGCGAGATGTCTGACCTTGTTTCCATAGCAGCCCTGAGATACTTTCTGGTGCAGCTCACCACGGGCTAAACAATAGATGGCCAAGGTGAAGCCTCCTGGCGTGTTTAAGGCCGACAGTTCTGTCCCCACACAGCTGTCTCTGCCAGCCCCCATTTCTCCACGAGATGAATCAGAAGCAGACTTCCCAGCTGAACCCTGGAGGTTCTGTTCAGGATTCGTGTTAATTTTAGGGGCGCATGAAAGTCCTGCATTGGACAAGAGGAAAATGGGCCCTTTTGAGAATGAAACAAGATCAGACACACACAGTTTGAAGAACTGCCACACCACACAATAGTGTTTGTAGGAGATTATTAAACATAAAAATATTAGTCTGATCTTCAAACAGTGTACATCAGTAGAATTTAGTGTCTGTTTCCCATGGGCCAGCTCTAAATTTAATGAAAAGGAGGTTATCCTCCTTAGCTGGATAGATGATGGAAACTGGAATTAACCATAAAATCGGCCCTAACTGAAGCAGGTAGGACAGCTGAGTAGAAGCCTTGGAAGTCCTGGCTTCGTCTCCGCCATAGCGGGGAGAGGTATGACCGCTGGCAGAGAGCTTGAGCCGCCGATGTCAGCCGCCAGGGTAGCGCGGTGCCTCTCCTTTCTGGCTTCCGGGAGGAGCACGCGCTCTGCACCGAGCAGCAGCAGCCTCTCCCCAGAGGCGCGCGTGGCTGAGCACAAAACCAGCGTGCTCATTTATCACGAGCTGCGGAGACACAAGCGCCAGTACGTACTGTCCCTTCAGTGTGGCCTGTGCCGTGGGTGGAAGGCTCAGGGGGCTCTGTCCCCGCCTCTGTCACAGCAGTGACTGTGTGGGGCCGGCCCCGTCTCTGCATGGTTGGAGATTCGGCCTGGCCTTTCCCAGCGGCCTCACAGGCCTGAACGTTCGTAACACACCCTGGATCTCTCGAGTGTTGTCTGGGGAACTTTTGTTTTTGTTCTCTGAGTAATAGAAGGCTAATATTAGTGCTTGTTGGAGTACTAGCCATAATAAAATGAAAGGCATCAAGGCACAACGCAGATATGTCTCAGGGACTCAAAGAGCACTGTCTGGGGCAGAGTCTTTTTTGAATCGAGAAAACCAAAACTCACCGTCCCTGTCTTAACCCCAGCTTAATTGAAAATTCAGGCACGATAAAGTCCGGATCCGCCCACAGGTAGTCAGCAGTAAACTGCTGGCCCCCTGAGAAGCCGCCTGCGAGCAGCACTTGGCTCTGGAGCCGAGATGGGGTGGCCGCCCCGCTTCACGCAGAGCCCAGCTCAGTCCCCAGTGGCTGGGCACACGTTCCCATCGGATGAACACGGCGCATTGGATTTTTTTTTTCTCATTGTATTAGGTCATTGTGACCTAATTTACTCTACTTTTAAAAACTCCCCTTCTATGTTGAGCATGGTGTAATTATATCTATTGTAAAGCAGTCAAAACCTTCCTCCCGGAAGTGAAGCATCTTTCTAGTATTGCATGTTCCCATTTGGTCTCACTTAGCATTTCTTCCATGAATCCTCTCCAAAGGCAGTTGCCAAATTACCCCCTACCATGGTACCACCTTCCATACCTGCTTTGGTGCCTTCTTTTGATAATGAAATAAACCACAGGCTACTTTGTCTAATTTTGACATATGCAAAGTGTCTTTTGTCTTGCTGGTCTTAAATGTTCGGGGTTTATAGCATGAAGC